ACTAAGAACCTCGCGGTAAGGGCGCCGGTATTAACTACGAAGTCTAAGAACTTGCCGATATTAGGATATCGCTCTATTATATAGCGCTTAGACTATAAGTACTGCCGGAGTGTCGCGCGGCAGGAGTAGTTAGGATCTGTTACTATCGAGGAAAGTGCTAGATGCAAGCTTTACGAAGTTTAGGTAAGCCCGCTCGTTAGAAGCTAAAGCGATTGCTATTATGCTTACTATATATATACTACTTGTTCTCGTTAATAGGATCTTCCCCTATACGTCCTTCCTCGTAGTATTAATAATAGTCGTCCTCCGCGCTACTCTAGTCTTACTATAGTCGAGGTTTACTATACTTAATATATATAAAGAAGGGATTAGTACCGAGAGGGGTATTATCGGCGATCTGCTAGAATTACGAAGAACGGGCTCGATCTTGCTACGATAATTAAAGCGTAGACTACTAAGAATGCTGCACTACTAGACGCTAGCCTATAGGAGGAGGCGCCGGTATACTAATCGGGTAATTATTAACGTCGCCTTTATACCGAGTTTAATAGGCCTAATAACGGGCGTCGCAACTAGCTCTAGCATACTCCTACTGTTATGCCTAGGTATCTAGGCTTAGCTAACTTAATAGATAATACGGGCGTAGAGGTAAAGGGGGCCTTATTATACTAAGAGCAGCATCGGAGGCGGATATTAGGGTTCGTTATCGTAGAGCTAGAGTCGCTAGACCTAAGGGTATAGGCCTTAGCGTAGAACGCTTGTTGCCCTTCGCAATTTCCTAATTTCTAGCTATATTCTTAAATACGACTATCGCTCGGCAAGTAGTATATCGCTTTACCGGTAGACTACCCTTTCGTCTCTAATTAAGGAATTAATAGATATCCTTAATCTAGCTACAATTGTCGCATTTCTAAGTAGGTAGCTACTTACGATTAGAAGGAAACGGCTGCTAGTTTAGAAGTATAGACTCCTCGTTTAGAAGTGTCGACTACGCTACTCTTACTGCGGTAGTAGTAGCACTAAGCCCGACCGGAGGCAAAGAGTAAGAAGGAGCGGTAGACATAGGTCGAGGCTAATATAATATAGGCGTATTGTTATTCGCCCTAGGCGGCGGTATAGCGCGAAGCTTACTACTACCTATAAATCGAGGCGGATTAGGAATAGCGATACGAGTAGTCGGTATGCCGTTAGGGTCGTATTCGGAGTTCTCGAAGACGCTATAGCATAGGTAGTTAATCGTATATTTACTATTATCCGTAAGCGTACGACTCGAGTACGTATGTCCCTAAATATTAACTATCTAGGGCTTAGTGCCGACGTAGATATTCGAGCCGCGAGATTGCTCTAGGATAAATAATCGACTAAGGTTTAGGCGACGTAGCTAGCGGCTATAATATCGGAGGACGTCGCGGATTAACTAATAACGATTAAGGCGCAACTTCCGTATAATGTTAATATTAGATTTGCCTTTAAACTGCTTCTAACTCTAACGCGTAAAGCGCCGAATCGAGTGCTCTACTCGGCGATTATAGTCCTAAATGCGCTTATCGTCTACGAAGTAGTACTCCGACGATAGGCGCGGCTTTAGGCATATAGTATCGGCCGATACGGTAGTCTCGTATGTTTAGTATTTAGTGTTTAGTATTTGGTGTTTGTTATATAGTATATAGTATATAGTATATACGGTATATAGTATATAGTGTATAGTGTGCAGTATATAGTATATAGTATCTAGAAGCAAATAGAATGTACTATAGGCAAGAAGGATAGATATACGTATATAGGAAGGGTCGAAGTGTAGGTATAGGTATAGGTATAGGTATAGGAAAGCAGAAGTCTGCCGGAAGAAGGAAAGAAAGCAATAGGTAACGTAAAAACCTACCTTAGGTGCCTAGTCGCTTTTACGATACGAGTAAAGAAAGCCTCTTACTGTTTCTAGTACTAGCACTAGTACTAGTACTGTTTAGTCTACGTATATACGATTCCGGTCGGCAACTAATATCTACCTGTATATCGTTTGTATAACGCGACTATAACTAACTTTAAGCCTAACTCTCGCCTACCTACCTTTACTATTATTGCCCTTTATAGGCCACTTTAGTATCCCTGTCTATTGCTAGCGTTGTCGCTTAGGGCAGAGGGGAATAGTCGTCGCAAGCTCCTCCTAAACCCCCCGTACCTACCGCTTTAGTACCCTTATATTGCTAGCGTTGTCGCTTAGGGTAGAGAGGAATAGTCGTCGTAAGCTCCTTCTAAACCCCCCGTACCTACCGCTTTAGTACCCTTATATTACTAGCATTGTCGCTTAGGGTAGGGGGGGAATAGTCGTCGCAAGCTCCTCCTAAACCCCCCCGTACCTACCGCTTTAGTACCCTCTAATTGCTAGCATTGTCGCTTAGGGTAGGGGGGAATAGTCGTCGTAAGCTTCTCCTAAACCCCTCGTACCTACCGCTTTAGTATCTACATTTCTTCTACTAACGTTGTCGCTTAGGGTAGAGGGGAATAGTCGTCGCAAGCTCCTTCTAAACCCCCCGTACCTACCGCTTTAGTATCTACATTTCTTCTACTAACGTTGTCGCTTAGGATAGGGGGAAATAGTTGTCGCAAGCTCCTCCTAAACCCCCCGTACCTACCGCTTTAGCATCTACGTTCCTTCTACTAACGTTATCGCTTAGAGGGAAGGGAGCCTACCGCTTTAGTAACGCTAGGCGAGTAGTAGGTATTTAATCTAGCGATAGCTTAGTAGAGGGTATATTAAGCGCAAGTCCTTTATAGGTTAGGGGTTGCCGGTAGGTCTTATCTACTAGGAGCTGCGATACTGTTCTCCTACTAGGTTCTCGGAGCCTAAGGCATCCGTCGTTATTGTATTAATTACTTTTGCTAGTATAGTTTTGCTAGAAACACGCTAAATCGACTTAACTCGGTAGGCTTCGGATAGGGCGAGTTTAGGTGCTAGTTTAGTACGTAGCAATATAGATACTAGCTTAATGTCGATAATATAGCTTCTAGATACGGAATTGAACCCTTAACTAGTATAGTGTTTAAACCTTACCTACCTACCTTCCCCTTCTAACTAAGCTATTACTATAGGCAGCAGTAATAAGGGTATATAATAGCACTACAATTTACAACCTTTAACTAATAATAATCGACTAATAACGAAGCGACGCCTAGCTATAACTAGGTATAGGAGTTATAGTAATCCTTTACGCCTAGTTATTAAGTTACGTAGGGAACCTATAGGATTTAGGCTTCGGTCCTTAGGCTTCGGCCTTTTCTAAGGCAGCTAGTAGCCTAATAAACTAGCGGCGGGTCCTGCCTTATACTATTAAAGAAATCAGTCCGCCTAGTTTTCTATAGCGGCGCCTTCTTATAAGGCGTATAAGGTCGAAGTCTAGTAGGTATGTTTACTTAGTCGATTTGTAACGTATCTTAAAGGGTTATAAGCTCGAGGGCTATATCGTGTCCGTAAGAGTAATTCCGGGTATTGCCTGTTTATAGTTTTTTGCTTCCGGGCTTTAGGTCCTTTTTTTTAGCCTTAGTCGGCCTTAGTCGGTACTATCTTTATTAGTTTGTTTGCTAGCTTCTTTTGTCTATATGCCTATCCGTAGTACTATCTATAGCTCTTAATACTCGATTGTTCTTTCGTTCTTTCGCTACTAAAGGTCGCTAAGGGTACGGTTTGCGGAGGTGCGGTACGCTTTAGTACGATAGGCTTTAGTATAGTACGCTTTTTGCTATTAGCGCGTCGTAGTATTGTCGCATCGTAATATTAGCGTATATCGAGGGTAGGTAGGTAGTACTAGCGCATTGTTATTATCGCATTATTATAGTTTAGAGGAAGTAACGTAAAAGGTAGGTACGTAATGTCTTCGGAGGCCGAGTTTGTCCGTCCTACTAGTTTGTATATAACTTAGCTAATTAGATCTTAAGCTTTCGAAATCCGGGGAGTTACGTAGTAACAACTTAGCACATTTAGCTACTATAGTACCCTTGTTAGTATAAGGCGAGCTTCGCTCGCAACTATCCGTACTAGGCTTGCCTAGCTTCTTAGTAGACCTCCTAGTATATTAATTGCTATATAGGCTCTATATTAATTTCTAGCCTTCCGTATCGGTATTAATGTCTTCTATAAGGTTAAAAACTCGCTAGCGAAGCTATTTAAGGTTACTAATACTGCTAGGCGTAGATAGGTCTATATTAGACGTTATGCAATATAGGGGATATAGAATAGGAAATGTAGAAGGAATTTAGGAACAGTAGAGATGGTAGCAATGCCAAGATTACGATTTGTATTGGGTTTAGCGGGGCTTGGTATGGTTAGAGTTGCTAGCAACTCTAGGTGCCCCGTGCGGGCCCCACAGTTGCTGGTATACAGACACTCCGCCAGACGCCAGACAGCAGGCGCAGGCGCATCGCATCTCTTGTGGCTTCCCGGGGCAATCTTACATTGAGCAGGTGCCAGGTGCCAGGTGCCAGCAGTGTCAGGCAGGTATCGTACCTTACCCACTACCGTGAGAGTATCGTCAGATGCGGCCACTTGCGTGAGTGTCACGCATACCAACACACTCCCTGCCCTGACACTGACACCGAGCTTCGTGAATGATGGTGAAGCTTCCTTACGCAAACCAATGACAGGCAGGAGTTCGTTTCTCTTATTCTGGAGAAAGCTTCATTTCGCTCTTGATATTTGAAATTGAGCAGCGCCGTGGACGTGCAGCTGCTACTAATTTCTGCACGCAGTCGCGACCTTCTTGTTGTCGTGCCCTGCCGGCCTTCAAATTCTACTCGCCGGCTCACTTCCTATTCTACCTTCTCCCTTCTGCTAAGCTACGACACCACAGAAGTCTGCGTGCTGCCACTCGTTTGCTTCCCTCTTGTCCTATCCCCGCGCACGAGTGCCACCGAGTTCATCCAGCGAGCATAGCACGCACGTAATATACGGCGCGCAACCTAGCCCGCCAGAGTCCCTCACTCGCGCAGATCACAGATCGCCCGCCATGCCACATCATACCCTCGCCCAGACCTACGCACAGCGCTCCGAGCAACCCGACCTCACTCCCCTGGCGACCTATCTCCTACGATTGGTGCACATCAAGAGAACGAATCTGTGCGTCTCGGCGGATGTCTACACCACAAATGACCTCTTGCGGCTCGCGGAAGAAGTGGGCGATCACATCTGCGTGCTCAAAACCCACGCCGACACCATCGGGGACTTTGGGGACAAGACGATACGCGGTCTGAATGAGATCTCGAGGCGCAAGAAGTTCCTAGTCTTCGAGGACAGGAAGTTTCTGGATATCGGCAGTATGTGGCCCTGGATCAGGCCGCCGCTGAAAGGTTCACAGGGCAGCAGCTAATGTGACCGATATAGACACCGTACAACAGCAATATTTGGGCGGCCCGCTGACCATCGTCCGCTGGGCTTCGATCATCAATGCGAATATCCTCCCCGGACCTGCCATAATAACTGCCCTCTCTCAAGCAGCTCAAAAGGCAATCGCAGCTCATAACACCTCAGTTTCCACCGATATACGAGCCTCACCTGCCCTCACTGCACACGACGATTTTGACGACCACGACGATGATCATGACTATCAGCATCACGAAATCTATTCAGAAGATGAATATCAGGAAGATTCCAATGACCGAACACGAAAACAATCCGTGGTGTCGGTCAGCACAACTATCAGTAAGCAATGACTCCGCCAGACAGCACGGGCTGAGCTCGCCACGTCGCAGACAGCTGTCTGGTCTCGGCTTGCAGGCTTGGAGCGATGCTGACCCTGAGGCTTTGTAGGCATGAAATCCGAAGCAATCTCCCCTCACCCGCATATTCGACCTTCGTTATCACGGGTTTCGTCTGGCAGCCCGAACGACCTTGAAGAAGACGAAGGCGACGATCCGGAGGCTCTCGACCATCTAGGTCCACCGCCGTTCGCTCGATCGCTCCTGCTTCTAGCACAAATGTCCTCGGCAGGCAACTTCTTCACGCCGGAATACACAGCCGAAAGTGTTCGACTCGCGCGAGAAAACAAGGACTTCGTGATCGGCTTTATTGCCCAGCAGAGTCTGAACGAGAAGCCCGAGGACAATTTCATCACGATGACGCCTGGTGTACAACTATCGGCCGGCGGAGATGGATTAGGACAGCAGTATAACACTCCAGCGAAGGTCATCGGCGAAAATGGCAACGACATAATCGTCGTTGGCAGGGGCATCACGGAAGCTAAAGACCGAAAAGCAGCCGCGCTCGAGTATAGGCGGCAAGGATGGCAGGCATATAAGGACCGAGTGAAGATGATGAGGAAGGCAGGAACGCTGAACAGATGATTTGAAAAAAAAAGTGTGAGATTGTGCGTTCAAGCGATCATTTCGACGCGAACGATGAACGCGTCGCTTCTGCAGACTGCATGCAGTCTACGCAGTCCAGCTCTCACGGCGGTGTGCGATATGCAATCCACTGCGCAGAGCTTTCGGCGGCTACTTGGCACGCTGCTGGGGTTTTCACGGCCTTTCACTTCTACAAAGGATGCGTCAGCATACATGCTAGATTATGCATCGAAGATCATTGATTGATCTTGGTACGCATCTTCCCCGGATCTTCAATACATCCATCATCCATCCTGCAGATCATTCAATGCTTTTTTTTCTTCGTGTTTCAAGAGACGATACGATGTGGACGGAGTTGTCCGGGGTTGAGCACGTTTGTGACACCGTGCCTGTTTTGAGAAGTTTGGGCGATGAAGGTATGTATGTGTGCCGAGTGCGGTCTTGTTTACTTGTTCGTGGAGATTTGGCTAATGAGTTCATATATCACATGTAGGTACACTTGGCCTCGGGCCCAGACCTACGACACACAATCTTTCCCGATGATTTTCGAGGGAAAGCCGATAGGGTCCATGTCTCCATCGTCTAAGCACTTCTATTCCAGTGCAGACGACAGGTGCGAGCTCGCGATAATGACTACGGCCATGGCCCGGTTGCAAGCCTTGGTGATGCAGCATATCTTTCGCAGACGATCGGCAAGCCACAGTAGCACAACTCTCTCTGAGCTTTGCTGGAGGCGTCGGTCTGGCCAACACATATTTATAGCCAGCCTTGCGACAGATTACTGTATATATGCACGATGTCAGCACAGTCCGCTGCTCGATGTCGCGGCGAGCTACAAACGGCGTGCCAGAACCGTTATGGATCACATTCCCAACGAGAACGGCCATCGATTGGACGTTCAGGTCCCCTACTATGCTCGCGGACTGTCCTACGATAACCAGACGTGGGCGACCTATCCAGACCGTGCTGGATTTTTCTAGTTATCTGGGCAGCTTACAGTTCAGGAATTGGACGCTCACTATCAGCATTGTTCGACAGAAGGTCTACAAGCATTCGTGCAATCCTGGATGTTCTTCGCTGTCCTGCAAAGATTCTTGGGCGTGCAAAAAGCAGCAAGGCTTGGTGTCCCCATCAGCTCGAAGCGCTGTACTCGACGTTATCGTATAGCGCGCTCGTTTATCTCACCGGCCGTGATCGAATGGACCGAAAGGGTATCGACCATGCGCAGTGCACGGAGCATCATACTTGCGTTGCGTTCAACACAGAAATCGGGGTCAAGATCGAGACTGCGCACGAAGAGGACGGCTGCGGCTGCCAGCACGTACTAGCGCCTCGGGAAGAACGGGTGCAAATTCTCGAGCGTGGCGGCATACCGGTGCTTCGCTGTCTTCGAAAGCGAAACGGAAGCTTCGAAGTCAACTTTGTGCCGGCCTCACTAGAGCTCAAATACGCCGCAATCTCACATCTTTGGGCAGACGGCCTGGGCAATGTCTTCGAAAACTCGCTGCCCCATTGCCAGCTGTCGAGACTGGTCAAGGCCGTTCGTTGAGGGACTTCTAGACGAAAGCTTTCAGGTCCTAAATCAAAACCATTTTGAACAATACTGGATCTCGATGGAACACGAAGAGCTGCGGTACTGCGTGGAACAGCTGCCATTCAAGCCCACGGAAGCCATCATACTGCTCGACCGCTCAGATCCCCTCCTTAGAGTTGATGAGACTGCTGTGTGCCATGGTGCATGCCTGCTCGCTATTGGTTACAAAGAGGTCGGACACGACTCGGAGAGAGCGCAGGCCGCAATTTATGTCGGCCCACTCACTTGGGGCAGAATCATCGGCAATACTGACCACGAAGCATTACCTCGACTTTTAGCCAGCCATGTCTCTACATCTGATGTTCCGAGCATTATCATCTCTTCTGGTAAGAAGATCTCTTGCCACCAATGTGCAATTACTAACTTCCTGCCACAGACATCGCGTCCTGGCCACAACTCCCGCCCTCAAGAGCCCGAAGACTCCGCTCGGTAAAAGCCATGCGCTGGATTATATTCTTCGTGTTCTTCATCGTCTTACTCATGACCTTAGCCATCGGCCAGAGCGATATCAACGCCAAAGGCAAACATTTCGATATGCAAAGACCTCACTCAGAACCCGTCATCGATCCCGGTGACTGTGGGCAAACAGGTTGATGGTGGTACAGTTTGCGTCGTGAACCAAATGATGACCTGCAGCAAATTCAGCGTGAAAGTCTTGCCAGCGGGTGCAGTTCTTATTGCGGGAATGGTGAGTATGTTCATTTTCTTCTGGCTCGCGTATGTGGTCAGGTACGCGATGCTTTTGCAGTTGATATATGCAGTTCATTCGGAAGTTGACAATCGTTTGAGTTGGTGGAGACAGTTGCGGGTGATTTTCAAACTTTTGCCTCCGTCGGAGATTCGTTGGTGGCGTTGGCTGGAGTATCTGGTCCTGATGAGGATGTTTGTGGCTTGTATCGCATGGCCGGTTTTGATGTGGGAGAGGATGAAACGTTTGGTGTCTCGGAAGCATGGTCAAATGGGTGGGGCCGAGGGTGTTGAGTTACACAAGATTGCTGGTTTGAGGCTTGCACGCGAGAGAGCGGCGGCGGCGGCGGTGGTTTCTTTATGATTCTTCACAATTTGACACTACATTATAATAGCGAGATCTACTATAACGGAGGCATATTAACGACTCTTTAAAATTAGGCAAACTGTTCTCTATCTTCCTAACAGACCTAAAAATCTTAAAAAAAACATCGTTTAAATCGGGCTAAAAGAAGTAAAAATATTGTGTTATAGCTATACTAGTGTTTATGTAGCTCGAAGAGCCACAAGTAAAGGACGAAGTGCTATAAGTAAAGGCCGAAGAGCTATAAGTAAAAGCTAAGGCGACGAGCGGGTTAGGGTAAGCTAGATTCTAGAAGATTCTACGGCGGCTATAGCCGTACCGCGCTAGGCAATAAGGCGGAAATCGTTATAAATCGCGCTTTATAAATCGCGCGCCTTTCTAATAACAACTTCTTCTACTTACTACTACTTACTACTACTACTACTACTACTACGACTCGTTACTGCTTCTTTTCTATCTTTATTAAGCTAGATACTATACCTACCCCCTATACTAGCCCTATAGAAACCCCGAGCAAGATCTCGAGCGCTACCGGTAAGTTTGATATTATTACTAAACCTTTATAACCGCGTCGCTAATAGTGTTAGTTACTTAAGTATTTAAGGGTAAGGAGGTTATCGATCTCGCTAGTACGTCGTCTAATAAGTCTCTACCTCGCTCTACGAAGCGAGTTCTATCTAAGAAGACCGGCTCTAAGAGGGTCGCGACTCTAGTAAGTCTCGTTTATAAATACCGTTACTAGATATACTAACCCTTAAAGCTCGTCGTAGGCGAAGTCTTCGTACGTTTCGTTAGTAGCGTAGTGCGCCGCCTTACGTTCTACTATACCGTCGTCCTTTAAGAGGGCTCTAAGACTATCGAGTACTAGTAGCCGCTAGGCACCTTTACTATAAACATACAATCGTACGCTATACTCCTAGGATCCGATTTTACCCGGGACTTCGGGGCTAGCTCTTCTTTCGTCTAGATAGGACCTAGCAATCGATTTGCTATAGGAATCTATATCGCCGCTACTCGGAAGAACGCGATAATCTAAGAATAGTATACTAATTAAGAAGTTAAAAGTTAGAAAAGGCGAGAGGAAATAAGATAAGATATACTATCTACGCTATAGAGCGCGGACCGATATATATACTCTACGGAGGTTAATTAGCCCTCCGCAAAAAATAAAATCTGTAAAGTAACTTACAATCTTCTCCTTCCTATTTTTATCTCGTCTGCCCGTATAATAGATATATACTAGGCCTATAATATCGGTTAGCGAAGCTAGTAATATTTAATCTCGCGTTTCTTAGTACGTTACCGCCGTTATTGCTATTCGTATTATAGTCGGTTTGAAATGTATACCTAATCTAGTTAAGTCCGCTCTACTACCGCGACGACTTCTATACGAGCTCGCTTACTATCTGTTTTCCGTATATAACCGCTTACAATCTCGCTAACACTCTCGTAATATATATCTCGAATATACTACGTCGGAAACGTAGGAGAATTAGAATATAACAATTCCGCTAGAAACTCGAAGAGTTGCTAGAGCTATGCTTCGCTTATACTTCTCCTAAGTTCTTCCGCTTTCTAAGACACTTCTAGGGTAAAGTCGTGTTCCTACTAGCAGCTAGTATCCTTAGTAGAGATAGTCTCTTAATGTTCTAGGGTGCCCTCTTCCTATTCGTACTCTATAGATAGAGGTCGAGTATTCGATTTCGAAGCCCGCCCGCTATCTTCGAATTCTAGTAATGCTACTCTCTTCCGGTTATAGTTTATATAGCTAGTATAGCTCCTAGGATCTCCTCTATAAGCGCAATTACTATATAGTAGCTTTAGCGCTAGGTTATAGGAATAACGGCACCCTTCGAAATAACTACGGTTAGATTCGCAAGTTCTATATTTCGAAGGAAAGGGACAGTTTAGTATAGCGCAACTTCTAGCGTCTACGCCGAGGATATAGACTAGCGCCGCTCGCCTCGCTCTCTTATCGGTACCCTTCTACGTTACGCCTTCTCCTAGTATATATATATAGCCCTCTCGAAATACTAGATCTCGCCTTTTACCGCTTACGATTTTCTTTACTAGCGCGTAGTCCGTAGTTCTAGTTTCCTAAATTTCACCTTTTTAATATACTTCTACTACTACTTATACGAACTGTTACGCGTAATCCTTTCCTACTTTAGGTACAATATTAAGGCTCGATATTGTATTAGCGCTAGGAATATAGCAGAGAACCCGAAGAGAAAGGAGGATAACTAAGAGAACTACCGGGAACTTAGCTTATATAGATAGGGGATAGGCGGCTAAATAACAAGGTTCTCGGTACCTCGGAGAAGTAGTAATACGCTAACCGTATTTAGGTAGCTAAACTCTATACCTAAAGAGAAAAAAATGCTAGTATAGATAGAGAAGTTTTGTATATATATATTATAGAGAATAACTACTAATCGCAGCCTAAAAGTCTTTTATATCGAAGTCGAGATCTGCGTCTTAAAGCATACTAAGGATCTTAGCTTCTTGTTTATATGCGATAACCGGAGCCTTTGCCTTAGCAATATCGCCTAGCCTTAGAGTGCGAGGTAGTATTAGAGCGTATAGTATCGAGGTCGGAGTAGAGACTTAAGTACAGGATATAGGCTTCGAGAGCAATACGGGTTATCCGGGTAGTCGCTTCCTAGAGAACGAAGGACCTAGAATAGGCGTAGTGTCCTTAGAAATCTATTAGATTGTACGCGCCGCAGATACGGAATAAGGTGTCGGTATAGGTACTAGCGTAGGTAGTGTCGACGAGGCCTTAGTTAGATCTGCCTACGCAATCTCCTTCGAAGGTGTTATTTTGCCCGTAACTTGTGTTATCTATTAGGCGTTACTAGGACCTAGGGCTAAGTTCTAGAGGTAGACTAAGGAGTCGTCTAGTTAGTATCTAGGAAGTTCTACGAATAACGGTCGGCGCGAAGTTTTCGCTAGTGCTATAGTTAGCGTAGTTTCTCGCTAGCTTAGCTATCGTCCGACTCTAGTATCGACTAACGTCCTATCTTCGTCGTTACCTAGTACAAATGCCCTAGGACCCCTTTCTACCCTACGCGGAAGGCTACTATCGCTACCTACTTCGCGGTCTAGACCCGCAAAGTTTCGAGTATACTAGTTAGGCTCGTCTTCGGGTTCTATAGCGTCTCGAATAGAACCGGTAGGCGGTTTAGCGATTTCGGGAACGTACGCTCGAGGTACGTAGTTAAGTATACCCTACGGGCGTCGCGGTTGCTACGCTAGTCCGGTAGAGCTAGTAGGTATAGCGTATATCGCTCCGCGCAATAGGACGTTCGAGGTTATACCTGTAAACAGACTTCTATCCTTAAAAATAAAGTCGTAGAGACGCTTAGGTAGATATAATAGAGCCGAGCGAAACACCTTATTTAGGGAGTCGCTGCCCTACGTTAAAGTATACTTTCCGTTAATAAGTACGCGGAGGTTACATACGTTCGTAACGCGTAAGAATGCTACAAAGAGTTAGCCGTAGCTAAATACGGGCCGTCGAAGGTCGATACCGATATATACTAGGGATTAACCCTAAGATTTGTTTATCGTTATTGCGAAACAAGGTCGAAGCGGAAGTTAATATCGCTTAAGGGTAAACGGCAGGCCTTTGTTCGAATGTATCTAGATTCGCGGTATCTAATACACTTCCTAATTATCGTCGTCTAGTAGTTTCCGAACTTTAACCCTAAACTAGAGTGTTTTTACGACGATAACCCGCGTTCCGTTTACGAGTCCTACGGTCTTATAGATGTTCCGTATAATTATTATTAGTATACCTACCCGGATCCGTAGGCAAGGAATCTAGAGCTCGGTATTCTAGATAGATTTTAAAAGGCTTAAGATTTCCGGAGGCTAGTCTTTATCGCTAGGCAACTTCTCTATCTTATCCTCGTAGCGATATTCGCGAATTGTACCGTACGGCAGGTCGTCTACGATACGTTCGTTAATCTCGTAGGCGGTATCGTTCGTTATATAAAGGATAGCTCGAGAACGATAGAATACTAGGTCGTACTTAGCCTTAATAATACCCTATCTTAGAAAGACGAAATCGATAAGCTCGCTAAGGTCCTAGACTCTTCCGACGTATATTAGTAGCTTAATAAATCGATCGAATACGTCGTCGTATACAATACGGAGGGTCTAGCGGTAGAAGTCGACGTTCCGCGGATTGCTATCTACGAGCCGTATATTTTGCTAGAGATAGAGTACCTTAATCTTATTCTAGATTAGGAAGGCTTTAAATATAATCGCTATTACGTCTACTTCCTTCGAAGACTTCTTATACTCGGGAAGCACTAGAAGAGTCTATACCTAGTCGCCGCCGAATACGACGGGGACTCCTGCGAAGAATAGTTCGTTACCCTAGCTATTACTACCTAATCGTAACTTGTAAAAGAGTCGATATATAGCTATAATATCGCGTCTATTCTATATCGCGGCTTCGTCCTAAATAACTAGATAAGTCTTTCGGATTAGCTTAGCGTCTATTATGTCTTACGTAATAGGACAGTCCTACTACCCGGTATTACTTAAAGGAAGTTTAAATCGGGAGTGCGCTATACGACTACTAGGAAGCAGCTATACGGCGACACCTAAAGACGCGACATACAGTACGATAAGGCTACGTGCTCTATAGGTCGCTACGAGTATACGGTATAGGAACGTCTTCCTATAGCCTCCCGGACCTTAGATAAAAAAGTGCGCTGTTAACGGATTCTAGTCGATGTCGTTCGTAATATCGGTAAAGGCTCGCCTTTAACTGTTATTAAGAAGGTAGGCGTTTTGTTATACGTAGAGTTTGTTCCCGTCTTCGTTTCCTATATCGACTAGCGCTTCTTCTTAAGCGATAGCGTTATTGCTACTACGCATTTTCGCCTATAAAGGATCGGGACTCGGCAGTCTATAGCCCGATACCTTATATCCGTTAGCAACCAATTCGGTGTATAGCTATTACTTACTATAACTTTTAGTAGTAGCATTTATCTCCTTATACCTTCCTACGTAGCCTCCGCGCCGCAGTTCGATATATAAATCTTTATATATGTCCCTCTATAGAAGACTCTACTATCGCGCAGAGTCGGCTCCGGATATCGCATCCGTTAGGATAAGTAGCACGAATATAAGACGCAATTGTCGGGAGATGTATATCTTCTCGGCCTCCCGGAACGTATCGAGCTATTTATCTTCCGATCTTATAAGACTAGATGCAATCGCCGCCGCTCGAAAGCTCTTATAAACGGTGCCGCTATATATCCTTAAGTCGCGGAAACATTTAGCACCCCGAACGATATAGAGCAATTTAATTAAGTATAGTATCTCGCCTTTAGGACGTAGGGGCGGGTTAAGACGCGCGATAGAGTATACTACGCGCTTAGAACGTTTCTTCTACGCTTTGTTATATAGCGTATAGTGTTTTAGAAACTTAAGATACGTTAAGCGCCGGCAAGATACATCGTTGTCTAGTAGCAACGCGTTATACCGAAACTACGCGACGAGCGTAGTGCGTTATCGTCTATCGCCGTATAGGTCCGCTATCGTCGCGTTATAGTTAAATACGATATTACCCCTAGGGCGCGGTAGGTAGACGTCTAGTCGAATAACCGCGGGCTATTCTTTATAGCGCTTACCTCCTAAGATATTGTATATCGCTATCGTAGGACTAATATATTATATATTAACGTAGTTAGCAATCTCGTTGCCGGGAATCTCGAGGCGGGCAGTCGTACGGTCGGCGCCCTTATAGACGTACTTATTAATATATTTAATCGCCTGTAATAAGCGGACCTACTCGACGTTAATATAGGCGTTAAACCGCTTTAGTAGGTATAGATTGTACGGTACGATATAACGATTGTCGAAGAGGAACGCGCGATTCCTCCTCTTATTCTATATCCTCCCGTTACGGCGTCTACGATATTTCGGAAACGCGATGTTAGTTACTACTATCTCGTCCGAGAACTCTATAGGGAATCCCTTAGAATACGTCCCTTCGGAGTGTCGAAGTAACTATATATACGGGACGTATAGAAAGCCCGCGCTATAAGGTCTATAACATATATATTCCTTAACTAAGTTCGTTACGCTACTATCCGGGTCCTCGGCTAGGCTCGGAAGCTTAGCGCGGA